ATCATGTTCTATATATGATCCTCATGTAATACAAGTGAGATATTTCATAATTTTTTTTTGATTATTCATATTGTCCTGGTGTGATGTTCTATAGTGCATTATATATTGTTCAAATAGTATCTATGTGATGTTATTTTTAATTTTCCTCTATTACGTGTTTTTCTATTCTTTTGTTTTCCATTATGCTTTATTTTATTTTTTATTATTTTTTTCTATTTATGTTATTTGTTCATTCATTTATATATTTATCTTTTTTCTATTTTAATACCATTCATATGCATCTAGAATATTTTTCCTAAATCTAAAATATTGTTCTTCACTTCTCCTGGATTTAGAACATTTGTGTTATGATGGCAAAACTCTTTTTTCCATTCATGGTCTTGCGATGATATTCACTTAAACAATTTCTTCTTTTTTTAATAAGACTATTCTCATACTGTTTATGATGTATATTATAAATTATTGTTATATTATTTTAGATATGTTTAGTGATTTTTTTCATTATATGTGATGTTCTATGGTGTATTTTATAATGTCCATGTATTATACATGTGATGTTCTATGGTATTTTATGATGTTCAGGTAGTATATATATGATGCCCTATGATGTTTTTATGATATCCAATATTATACTTGTAACGTTTTAGGATACATTTTGTGATGTTCACATAGTTACATGTGATGTCCTATGATTCATTTTGTGTTGTCCAATTGTATACATGTGATGTTTATGTTGTAGAAATGGGATTGTCGATAGAATATCATCGGCAGTCCTCCGAGGGGTATCCCACGAAGGTAGATTGATCGGAAGAGGAGCGCGTGATCAAAAACAAGAAGGCAATAGAGACACTCATCGGGCAACGAGCTTCCGTTCTCTTCTGCTCTCGGTGGAGGCGAGGCCCCTGAAGACGGTGGCGACCACCTTGTCATGGTCCTGGAAGGCATTGTTATTGCTCCCAGGTGGTCGGCGGCCTCCGTTCCCGCCATTGGCGTCGTCGTCCAGTTTCTTGTCCTAGAATTCCTTGGCCAAGCCGAGGCAATCTTTCATCTTGTGTTTGGCGTTCTTGTGGAGGGGGCATGGGCCATCGAGGATCTTCTTGTACTATTCGCTCATCGTAGTTGCGCTTGGCGCGAGGCTCATTGATGGCAGCAACGAAGTGGTCTGGCGGCGGCGGCGATTCTGACCGGGCTTGGATCCTTCTGGCCGATCACGGCCGTTGTCCCGGTAAAAGCTGCGGTCGTCGTAGCGGTGGTCGTTGTGGCATCTGTTGTCGGTGCGGTCGTCGTTGCGGTGAGGCGGGCGATTTACGGCCGTATCTTCGTTGAAACGCACCTCCGCTTCCTCGGCGTCGGCGTACTGGTTGGCGGTCGTGATCATCTCGCCGATGCCCATAGGCGGCTTGCGGTTGAACTTGGACCGGAGCTCGCGATGGTGAAGTCCTCGAACGAAGGTGGTGATGACCTCAGCTTCCGTGATATTGGGGATAGAATTCCTCATCTCGAAGAAGCGTCGGATATAACTGCGGAGGAGCTCGGATGGCTTTTGGGTGATGCGGTTGAGATCGTGCTTGGTGCCTAGCCACGTACACGTAGCCATGTAGTTGTCGGTGAAGACTTTCTTCAGTTCTTTCCAAGATCCGATGGAATCCGGGGCCAGGCTTGTGAACCAACTCATGGTGGCTGGCGTGAGCATGACAGGGAGGTAGTTTGCCATGACGTTGGTGTCCCCTCCCGGGCGCGGACAGCAGTGGCGTAAGCTTGCAGCCATTGGGTTAGGTTCATCCTTCCTTCATAGGGCTCGACCCCCGTGATTTTAAAACCACGTGGCCACTGGAGTGTTTGGAGCGCCCTAGTAAACGCTGGAGGTCCTTCGGGGTTGTCGGCTCCATCACCAGCGGTGTTGCCAGCGGCGATCGGTTCCTGGCGGCGGCGTACTTCATCTTCATGGCGACCGAAGCGGCGTTGCTCGATACACCGTCATGCATCCCGGAGGTTACTGAGGTGAACTTGAGCGTCCTGTTCGACCTCCTGGTCGTGCTGGCGATGGTGCTCGGCGCGGTGGAGAGGTAATGACTGGTCGGCGAAACGGCTTTGACTAGGGCGGTGATTGGATCTTGGTGTGGCTGATCGATGAATCGTGCTTGTCGAGCACGAAGGTCTTTGATCCTGGTGGATCTCGTTGACCTGGCAGTGTGCCGCTTTGAGCATGGCGGCGACCTTAGCGACCTCTGGGAGTTTGCGGAAGCCGGGCGAGCTCATTGGCGGCCACGGCCAAGTTAGTGCTCGCCGTTTTGTAGACATCGTGGCCATCAACACGGAGGAACTCTTCGTCAAGATTGTGATGGAGCGGCCTTCCTTGCGAGTCGAATTGATTGTCACGAGCGGCCTCAGCCATCGCAAGGGTGCGCTCGTTTTCACGGCGCTACGCGCGGTTGACGTTCCTGTTTTCATGAGCGGCACGTTCCTCACCAGTTTTGCCGTTCGAGGAGGGCTGTCGATGCTGACGTTGAAGATTGCGCCACCCCGGAAAGGCGGGAGAGGGGGCTGCTCGGTGAAGGTCTCGGCGAGGGTCTCCGTGGAGCCTTGGGATTCGGAGTCCGGATTTTTCTCCAGGATGGTTTGGAGGGATGCTCGGGGACCTTGGCTGGCGTGCAGCATATTGACGGTCGGCGGGAGCCGGTCGGCGATCTGGTCGGCGAATTTGCCCCTCAGGGTGTCTTGGTATGTAGCGGCGGCATTGGCGAGCCCAAAGGGCAGGGCTGTGGCCCCCGGAGCTTGCCGAGCAGCTTCCGATAGATCCGGATCGGAAGGATGTCGGCGCTGGGGGAGGGTGTCCAGAGCTGACTCAGCGATAGAAAGGCAATTGGTGAGCTTCAGGCCGACCCGATCGATGGATTCGATCATATCATCACTGTTGATGTGCCTCCTCTGGTAACGAGGAAGCGAGCGGCGAGTCGTCGGAAGTGGACCCGAGATCGGATCTGCAGTTGCAGGTGCGATGGTGGTCGGCACAGAACGGATCTGTACCGGCTCAAGGAGCTCTCCGACTCCGTTAGCATTGAAGACCCACGAGATGGATCCGACCGTGAAGATCTGGCCGGGCTGCGGGAGGGACGAAGAGCCTGCGGAAAAAGCCATCTTGTTCGACAAGGAAACAGCACGCACACCCCTACCTGGCGCGCCAACTGTCGACAGAATATCGTCGGCAGTCCTCCGAGGGGTATCCCATGAAGGTAGATTGATCGGAAGATGAGCGCGTGATCAAGAACAAAAAGGCAACAGAGACACACGAGTTATACAAGTTCAGGCCGTTAGTATGACGTAATACCTTACTCATATGGTCTGTTAGTTTGTATTAGCTATCGTATGATATGTCGTGATTTTGGAGAGGGTCCCTGCCCGCCTTATATAGTCCGGAGGGTAGGGTTACAAGTCGGTTAGATCTGAGAGATAAACGAAAAGTAATAACAGAATACAAGAATCATGGGATCGTACGTATCCTAACAGATCTCGTAGTATCTTCAGGATATCTTCCTTATGTCTTCTTGGCGGCGCCGAAAGCGTAATCGTGCCCATGCAAGGCTTCATCTTAATGAAATTTGGGCCGCTCGGGGCGCGCGGCTCATGTGATTTGCCGTGGGTATCCGAGGTCGTACCCCCCACAGAGATGTTTCTTAATTATTTTTTAGTATTCACATAGCATTCATGAGATGTTTTATGGTTCTTCTGAACATCGAACATTGTTTTTTAAGGCAGAACATTGTTTTCTTAATTTAGAACTTCACTTTTATTCAATAATAATAATAAATAATGTTCTATCTTTATATGATAAATGTTCGTTAACAAAACTTTATCTATCTATCTATCTATCTATCTATACATTGTTTGGATACTTAGCTTGTAATCTATGGCTTTTAAAATTTTCCAGCTTGTTCGGATGGTAGCTTGAACAGTGTTTTTTGGATGGTTTTGGATAATTAAATAGTATTATGTGAGAGAGAATAAGCTGAAACAAGCTACAACAAGCTAAGACTATACCAGCCGAAAGCGGTGTTCAAAGGTATTCATCAAACACGTCAGCAATTTTGAATTGTACTACATGGTTACATGAGTATGCGACTGGACAAAACAAATCATGCTTCAAAACAAATCAATTTCAAAGGCCCAATATGCAAATTAAAAACGGCCCACGTCCGTTGCGTGCCGGCAACACTAAATATTATATTTTGGGCAGCGGGCAACTGGGTGCTGACCCGGTCGACGCATAACACGCCCCGAAAGATTTGGGATTCACGATGGGGAAGGTACACGAATCATGGCAGTTACCTCAATCCAGTGTTCCTTCTCGAAATTGCAACACCTCGTGCGAACCTGATTTGATATCGATGTTCTTGCCTGAGATGGGGAACCATATGAGGAGTTCATCTTCTTCCATCCCTCGCCGAGAAAACCACCGAACAGAGGATGCCGGAGAACATGATGCCACATATGGTGCCAGAGAACAGGTCTGCGTTTACGAACCGCCGCTCGCCGGTGAGGCCGTGGTGCCTCCAGTTCTTCTCGATGGGTGTTTAGTGGAGAACCAAGTGCATGATAACGTGTTAGAAGTAGAGAGCGACACAAAGCAAGTGATGCAAATGATTGTCTGTGTATTCCACATACAGAGCCCATGTGGGCAGTTACACCTCAGAGAGAGTGAAAAGACACCCCTCTACTGACTCTATAGAAACTGCCTAATTGATCATTAACAATAATTCTCAACAATAATAAACAACAAATGTGGGAGAGTGAGAACGAAAAAGGAATGTACTTTTTGGTGTCGAAAAATAATATGATAATGATCACCTATTACTAGGGACATATCCAGTTCCTTCAACAAATCTAATGCATCTCAGAAACCTATGTTCATGATAAACATCTGAACTGGGAGGATTCTGATATCTAGTATCACTGTTTTGTTCCTTCAACTTATCTACAAACTCTGTTGGCATGCCAAACAATTAAAAATTCTTCAGATACTTGAGCTTCTCCATGCTTCGAGGTGTTTCAATCAGCTCCATGCACCGACCAAGGACCAGATCACGTAGATTTACAAGGCAACCTTCTTGAAATTCTATGTGACTAAGGTTGGGCAAGTCCTCCAATGTGAGTTTCCTCAAGCTCGGATAACCACCTTTGACAAAAACCATGTCCCTCTCCTGGTATGTAGTGATGAGGCTAAGATTCACCAGTCTAGGAAGCGCGGCTAGGAGCGCGAGAGAATCATGTCCAATCTGGCACCGACACAACCGTAGCCGCACGAGGCTAGTGAGGGAGCTGGTCCAGGATGGAAGTTTTGCACCTTGTAACCTGCCCGTCAGAGAGAGCTTTTGTAGCAGCTTTGGTGGTTGAGAGATTGATTCCAAATCTAGTACCGTGTCTGCTTCAGGTTCAGTCTCCAATCCCAACCGCAGAAGGCAGTTCATTCTAGAGATTGACGACGACAAATCGGCTATGAGGCTCTCATTCACTCCAGATAGCTCTAGGCTTCTCATCTGCTCCAGTCCTGCTAGGGATCTGACCATCTTCTTATGAGCTCGAACATATTTGAGTGTCTGCAGGTTGGTCAGGTTTTCTAGCCCCATAGGAACTCCTACTGCCATGCCGGGGTATGGAATCAACAGGTCTGTAGTCTCACGTGTCAAAACTATGAGGTGGCGCAAGCTCCTCAGTTTTGCTATGCTGCTTGGCAGCCTCTGAACCATGGACAGCTTGGCATCCAAGGTTTGCAGCTTCTGCAGGTTGCCCAATTCCTTTGGCAGCTCTTCAATGAGAGTGGAACGGATGCCGAGATACCGCAGATTGTGAAGATTGGTCAGTGAGCCTGGTAACTTCTTAGTCCCATTCAACCAGAGGTTTAGCACGGTTAGGAGCCTGAAGCGAGGTACCAGGATGGAAACATCGAATTCTGACCCAAATACTGTAAAGGTGCGAAGTGTGGCCCATTGCGAAAAAAACATGGAATCTTCATTTCTGCATCTGTCAACGACAAGGTGACGGATTCTGGTATTGCAATTCATTGTTCCGTCACCATTTACCAATGGTAAGAAGCCATCCTCATCTTTGGATCTGTTAATGATCAGTTCCCTGATAGTGTCATGAATGGTGCACCGTTTAACGCGGCCAAATTCATTCCTTTCAACGGCCTGCATCAGGTTGCGCTGTACTATTTGGTCCAGGTAATCATCTGCGATATCCTCTGCTTTACGCTGGCTAAGTCCCAGATGCTCTTCCACGAAGCCCTGTGCAATCCAGTTCCTAATCAGTAACTTCCTCTTGATCAACAAGTCCTCAGGGTACGCGCTGCAGCTCAGGAAACATTTCTTGAGGTGGTACGGAAGGTCATCGATACTCAAGTAGAGTATGCTTGCTGCCTCGCCTATCCCAAGATCATCGCAGCTGCTGTCCCACACGAGGCTGTCATGGGCGTTTTTCCAGGCGAACTCTGTCCTCTCCCTTAGCGCGAGCAGGTTGCCGATGGAGACGATCGCCAGCGGCAAGCCGCCGCATCGCTTCAGCATACTTTTAGCAAGCATCTTCAGGTGGCTCGGGCACTCCTGCCCGGATGCCCCCCTGAAGGCGACGGAGCAGAACAACTTCCACGCCTCGGTGTCAACGAGGGGCTCCAGCATCTTCACTCTCTCGGGCTCCGCGGCCATGGCCACGTCTCTTCTGCGCGTGGTGATAACCACCCGGCTCCCCGGCTCGTCCTCGAGGAGCGCGTGGCGGAGCTGCTCGTTCCACAGGTGAGCCTCCCAGACATCGTCGAGCACGACTAGGTACCTCCTCTTGGCGAGACGGTCCCGCACAGCCGCCACGAGCGACCGGTAGTCCGCGCCCGCGTCGTTCCAGCGGACGTCGCGGTGCAGCTCTTTGAGCATCTCCCGGAGGAGATCTTCCATCGTCGAGTGTTGCGAGACGACGACCAACGCGGAGCAGTCGAAGTGCCTCGTCGTCGTCACGAGCTGCTTGTACACGCGCGTGACGAGGGTGGTTTTGCCGACGCCAGCCATCCCGCACACGGCGACCAGGGCCCGCCGTGGCTCTGCGTCCTTGACCAGCAGCTCCATCAGCTGCTTCTCATGTGCCGCGAAGCCGATCACCTCCTCCTCCTCCAAAAAGTGCGCCCTGTCTGCCATCGGCGGCCGACGAATAAGGGTATCGGAGGGCCCGGCGCCGCCGTCGGACGGGCGGATGCCGTACCGCTCCTTATCCGCGGACAACCGGCAGAGCCTCTCCCGGGCCTTGCGCAGCCGCCTCGAGAGGGCAAACCAGGCCTTGACGTTGATGCAGTCCCGGGCCAGGCCCTTGCCGGAGAGGTACGACCACTCGTCGGCGACGTCCTCGAGCTCGAAGGCGACGTGCCGGACATGCCTGAGCCACATGGCCACGGGCTCGGCGTCCGTGCCTCGGCGGGAGTCGGCGAAGCGGAGGAAGGCGCGGAGGAGGTCCAGGTCCTGCATGGCGGCGGCGACGTCAGAGCGGACACCGAAGAGGCGCGGTATGCCAAGGGCAGCTCTGCGGGATAGCGCCACGGCGAGCTTCGCAGAGAGTGATATGGCTATGGCCTCCGCCATGTCGCCTGCGACTGCAAGCGTGCCTGGGACTGGGTATGGCGCAGTAACAGTAGGTGACTTCAGACTTTGGGAGGAGAGGGAGATACGAAGAATCAGCTCGGGCGAGCTGAGCTGATAGAACACAGAAGAAAATGTGGCTAATAAAAAACTGGAGAGCACAGGCTACAGACCGGGAGGAGAAAAAAAAAATCACCCAGTCGTACCTAGTATATACTCTCACTCTCACCCTGGAAAAACAAAATTGTATGCACGCATGATGCACGTCAACTTCGTACAGCACAAATTGTACGCATCCATACAGTCAGACCAGTCACAGCCTCTCACTCTCAGCGTGTCATATGACAAGTCACCAACCAAGACGATTTAATCTCAGCTTCACAAAGTTATTTTTCAAGTTTTCCTACCAAATAGACCTTTTGAAAACAGCTTCTTCCTAGAAGTTCCTCCCACGGCATAAGAGCTGAAAATACTACCTTTTCTTAGCTTTCTCTCTATTATTTTCCCTAAGAAATTGTTTTACCAAATTTCTTTAAAGCAATTTTAGCTTTACTTATGAAGCAGCTTTATGGAACCGATGTAAACAAATACTTCACTAGTGAAACTGAATTATACCAAATATGTCCGAAGAATCTAGCCGTGTGTCGCTCTATCTCCAACGATATTCCCTATTTTTTTTCCTTTTGGCTCACGTCTCACCCTTGTTAAATCCTTGACCTTGACTTACACCTTCGTAGTGTAAAGATAGAAAATGCAAGTAAAGAAGAATCTCTACGAAGCTTTGAAGGTGTAACTCATTCATCGCTCACTTCATGATACTTGATACAATATTACATCATGTCTTGTACAATCTCGCTTTGTGGGTATATAGGGAAGATCAATAGGCAAAGGGAGAATTATCTATTTGGCACTGAAACAAATCAGTCTTTCATATTTGGCACTCAAAATTTTAAACTTTCTTATCTATCATCAAGTTGAAATTTCCTTCCGTAAATGGCACTTCCGTCTATTTTCACCGGTAACGATGTTAAGTAGTTTGCAAAATGACATAAGTGCCCTTGTTCGTTGTAGAAGTCCATGGTGCCAAATAGGAAAATAATAAATAAAAAGTTTGTCAAATAAAAAAATCATAAATATTACAAATGTACTCGTAAACTAAAATACGAGGTCACCCGACTGCATGCAGGAGCCTTGCTGGAGCATGTGGAGCCACGACTGCATGCAGGAGCTTGTGGAGGACCCACGACTGCATGCAGGAGCCTTGCTGGAGCGCTGGTCCCCCGACGGCCTGACGACGCAGACGCCGCCAGTCGTGCTCCCGTTCCCCGACCTCACGGGGCGCATCGAGAGGCTGCCCCCGCCGCCGCTGCGCGAGCGCATGCTGCAGTTCTCGGCCCACACGCTGGAGGCGCTCAAGGACTTCTGCGCGAGCCAGGCGTGGAGCAGCGACGGCGCGTGGTGCGTGATCCAGAAGGTCCTACGGTCCCGGACGTGGAGCCGTACGCGGTCCTCGGCACGTTGGCAGGCAGCGGCCACCAGTAGTTCACCGCCGGCGCGGCCAGAGCCACTCCGGCCAGCCTGCAACGACCGAGCCACACAATCAGAGCATACAAGTTGATCGATCACCTATTCACCTGAACGGAGATGGTGGTGTGCAAGCTGCTATAGCTGCTATTCTCCACGCTGGGTAGCCGCCAATGGAGCACCCTACCACGTAGAACTTGTCCCCGAGCTGCAGCGCGTCGGCGAGCTCCTCGACGTTCGTGGCGTCGCTCTTGAGACTGCGCTTCGGGTTGGCGTCGCTGTCACCGTACCCGGCTCTGTCGAAGAAGAGCATGTATATGCCGAGCTCCTCCACAAGCTCCTGCATGCAGTCGTGGGTCCTCCACAACCTAACGAACTCTTGAGTACGAACACCCGAACACACAACACAACACGCTTCTCAATTCCAGTTTACGAAACGATCAAGAACAGCTGGCGTCGAATTTGTCCGTAGCCACGATCTTGCGCAACAGGCTGCACCGGCCGAAGAAAATTTCGGTCTTGGGTCGGTGCTGTTCGGGTAATGATAGCGAGCCTTTGATGCATCCCATGACGCAGGAGTCCCAGTCCCAGGCGACCGAGTCCAACACGGCCGATTCGTGTGCCGCTTTTGAACCCCATTTTCTACAATTCTCCCGGTCCAGGCTAATGATGTCTGGTGCCTGGCGCCTCTACGTATGCGGCGCCTCCGTTCCAAAAAGCGATCCACGAGAACCGTATGCATACACCTCGCGCGCGCCTGGGCAGGGCCGCAGCAGGGGGCAGCTGGACTGGAGCGCACGCGCCCGCGCCCGCCTACTTCTCGCCAGAATCGACCGGCACGCGCGCGCGCGGCGCCCTGCGTCTGTGACTCCCCGGTGTGTTGGACACGTAGCGCAACGGCTTTGTAATATTTATGATTTTGTTATTGGACAAACTTTCCATTTATTCTTTTCCTATTTGGCACTATGGACTTCTACTACAAACAAGGACACTTATGTCATTTTGCAAGCCATTTAACATCGTTACCGGTGAAAATAGACGGAAGTGTCATTTACGGAAGGAAATTTCAACTTGGTGCTAGATAATAAAGTTCAAAATTTTGAATGCTAAATATGAAAGACTGTTTTGTTTCGGTGCCAAATAGATAATTCTCCCATAGGCAAATGCAGAGGCGAATCTACATGTGTTCCTTGGGTTCACCTAACCTCGATAACTTTATAAAAACTCACTAAAAGTTCTTCTATCCACCTGGAAATTACTCTTTCAAATAGAGAACTAACACTTCTTTGATCTTGTTGCTTAGTGCTTGACCCTAGTGACATGATATCCTAAATTTGGTCCTCGGCATATGGAAATTAAGAATACAACTTGTCCCTAGTTCAACTACTACATTCTCGAAATAGCACAGGCTACAGACCAGGAGGAGCCAAAAAAAAAAAACACCCAGTCGTACTCGTACATACTCCCACTGTCACCCTGGAAAATCAAATTGTACAGCACAAATTGTACTCCCACTGTCACGCATGGTGCACATCAACCTCGTACAGCACAAATTGTACACATCCATACCGTCAAACCAGTCACAGCCTCTAGCTCTCAGCGTGTCATATGACAAGTCACCAACCAAGACGAAATATAAAGCTTACCTAGGAGATTCAATCTTAGCTTCACAAAGCTATTTTTTAGTTTTTCCTGCCATATAGACCTTTTGAAAATAGCTTCTTCCTAGAAGTTATTTTCAGCTCCTCTCACGGCATAAGAATTAAGGTGAAGCTAAAAATATCTCTCATAGCTTTCTCTATGTTATTTTCCCTAAAAAGTTGTTTTACCAAATCTTTTTTGAAAGTAGTTCTGGCTTTACCGGCGGTGAAGCTATTTTGTGGAACCAAAGCCAAAACAAAACTACTTCACTAGTGAAACTGAGTTGTACCAAATATATTCAAAGAATCTAGTCATGTGTCGCTGTATCTCCATCGATATTCCATATTTTATTTCCTTTTTGTTGAAGACTCACCCTTGTTAAATCCTACCCATGACTTACACCTTCGCAGTGTAAAGATTGAAAATGCAAGTAAAGAAGAATCTCTACAAAGCTTTGAAGGTGCAACTCATTCTTCGCTCACTTTATGATACTTGATACAGTATTACATCATGTCGTGTACAATCTCGTTTTGTGGGTATATAGGGAAGATCAATAGGCATATACAGGGGCGAATTTACATGTATTCATTGGGGTTACCTGACCTCAATAACTTTATGAAAACTCACTAAAAGTTCTTTTATCCACCTACAAATTACTCTTTTGAATAGAGAATTAACACTTCTTTGTCCCCGTTGATTAGTGCTTGACTATGACTGTTTGGGCAAACATTGTTAGGCTCCACTCGAATTGTCACTAGGTTTGCTCGACACATGCTTATAAGAGGACAACAGCTTCAAGATCAACCTCCGTCCGATTCCTTGAATTGCACAAAGGCTCATAGGCTACTATCGGAGATATGTACCTAGGGTGCCTCACCGCATGGACAACAGCCCAAGTAGGACAGGTACACCAACCAAGATACACGAGAAACCCAACCAAGATGGGGTACCTCGTCTACTTTGAAGATGAGGCAACACAAGATATATTTAGAAATCAACTCTATCTGGTAGATTTTCTTATAACAAACTAGAAAATCCACGTGTAAACCGATCGAGATCCTATCTATAACTCCACCTCTGGACTACATAAAGAGGGGTGAGGAGCCCCTGATCGGTATCCAAACCTATCCCATGACATTCTAGGCAACTTGCCATCAGCAACCTCTTGTAAAATCGAGCATACAAACAAAGAGATTTACTCCAAACTAGACGTATGGTATCACGTATCTGAACCGGTATAAATCTGTGTCTCGTGTGCTGCTCATCTGATTCCCGCCCTATGCGTGATTCGCTGATTCGTACTGCCGGAACTAATTATTCCGACACCCTACCTCATCAAACAGGCCCTACATCTCCTCGAGTACGGTTTTTTATTTGGGCTGGGTAAGTGCTTTTTTTGAAAGGCAACGGGCCGATGAACGGCCCCCCACCGGGTGACATCCCTATGGGTGGAGGGCCATGGGCCGTAAAAGTTCAGGCTTTGAAGCTAGATTACAAAGTAGGCAGGACAGAGGGGGGAGAGATTACATCCAACCAATGGAGCTCCACACATCGAAAACTCCTGGTTTCTCCTAGGAACATGGCACAGCCAAAGACTTGTTGTGTTCTTGCACGTAGCAACTAGCCGGTCGACACCGGGTGGCAGCTGCCGGAAGACTACCTCATTCCTATGTTTCCAAAGCTCGCAGCAGCAGAGGAGCAGGTTGGACACAGCACTGATGGGCACCCTTTTCGGTGCTCTGGAGGTCCACAGCTCCCCAACCGGGGCGATCGCGCTCGCATCCCAACCAATCCTGCTCCAGAAATGGCGGGCGAAGGGGCACTTTGATATTGATATGATCCGCGTCCTCTTCGTATTCCAGGCACAGTTCAGGTTCACCTTTCACTAAGTCCTATCCTCAGCAGCCATTCAAACAACTTTACTCTTGGAGGGGCGATATCGTGCCAGACAAAAAGGGAAGGAGGGAAGCGTATGTTCCCCACGGGACGACGCCTTCCAGACTACTCGCGTCATCAGCTTGTGACTCCCATCTTCAAAGCAGCATGAGCGCACATCAATTTCATCTGTGAGCAGAGTGTCTTGAAGGAGCTCCTCCAACTTCTGTAGTTCTGTTGCTGCCCTAGGAGTCAGTCTTGCCTGAAGTTGATCAGTTAGGTCTCCGTGCAGCACTTTAGCAACCGAGACCCGAGCGCCTGTAAAGTGGCCGTGTGGAGCGGCGGCGAGAGTCGTCTCCCCGATCCAGTGGCCATCCTAGAAGGACGTGTCTTCCCCGTTCCCAATCTACACCGTGGAGATGCTCCTGTAGGCTGGTAGCAGGTCTCTTAGGGAGTCCCAGTGATCTCTAGTAACATCTGGCTGCTTGCAGGTCGGCTAGTCTAACTCTGCCTCTTGCCTCTTGGGTCTGGGTTGGTTGCTGGGTTTGCACAAACCATGAACAGGCTATGTAGTGCACATTGGTATCTCGCGATACGTGCTCAGCAGTGCGATGGCCATATAGACTTTGCGAATGTGTTTACAGTTTGTTTGCTTAGTAAGGGAACGTACAACGGTCGTTGCGGAGCCGTCTGTGTGCGGTCATTTTTACAAATACACGCCTAGCGCACGTACGAGACAGCGAGGTCGTCGTCTCATGAGACGACGGCTCGGTCTCGTGCTCCCATGCGAAATTAATGTCTCCACACCTGTTGCAATGGCTCAGACAGATCTGGTGTGGTTGCGCAGGAGAAGAAGAATGCGCGTAGACACCAGAGCTGATGAATGCGGCAGGCCAAAGACAGTCGGGCATGGCACGGAGGACGTACGACACGAGCTCGCCATCGCCGCCGCCGTGGCCGTAGACGTCCGAGGGACACGCGCTGGTCGTCTCCCCTTGCTTGCCGTCGCGCCGGCTGTTCTGATCACTCCAAGTGAGAGGGCCGTTCCGATCTAGACGAGAGACCGGTCCAAGTCTGGACTGCGGAGTGAGAGAGAGAGTACAGATGCAATGATAGAGTTGAATGGATGGCCGCACATTAGCAGAGGGGAAGAGATAAGGTGTGGGCCTTCCTTTTCATCTATTTTTTTTATTTCCTGTATTTTTAATATTTGTTTAGTGATACTCATAGGGGTAGATGATCTGTGACAATGGTTCTAAAGAAAATTTGTAATTCCATTCATCTTATTTGTACGTGATTGTATCAAGAATCAAGATGCAACAAAATGATATACAAAGATCTTATCATGGTTTATTTGCGTACATTTAACAGTTCACAGACAGACAAATAGACGACCATTGTATAAGCTGTCTATGTGCATTCCTAAAACTTTACAGACAGACTGTACACGCCCTAAGCCTAATCTACGGCCTAATGGACGCAGCAGCATTCTTATTCTCCTCGGCCCAAGTGAGCACCACTCGGTATAGTCCATCCATTCTTCAGGCCTACCGGTATGGGCCTGCAATTCCAGTGTAGCAGGCTCACTGAGGCCTATGGCTTTAAACTTTAGTTTCGCTGTTAGTTAGTTTGACGCTAACGTTAGATACGCACGGCAGGAATGCGCAAGGCTTGCCAAGATCTAAACAATCCAGCTACACATACGCACTAAAATTTGATAAATCTCTTGTTCGCCGTATTGTTGTATCAGGATTTACAACATCATCGCTTGTACAGTACAGGGTTCCAATGCAAACAAGGGCATGCAGCTGTTCTACAGAGACATCACAA